TATGTCAGTAAGAAAATGAGAATGAGTGGCCCAGGGACACCGGCAGGGAACAAAAGGAATAATGCCAAAATCAGTAGGAAATAATTTAAAAGACCAACAGAAAAGACTAATGTTTGAAATTACTGACAAATCCCTGAGCTGTCAATTATTATTGAGTATTTTGTGTCACCCTCCCGATGTTTCCCTTTTATTCTGAAATAGCTGATACAGGACAGAGAGAAGTATTTCTTAAGCTGTGCTCCTGGAGCTTGACATTCCAGACCACCATTATCAATGCAGGTTCTAATGCAAGCTGACTATCCCCAGCAGCAGTGCTGCCCTCGGTGCTGGGAGGCAGGGGCTGGCCAGGCTGAGCATCTTATGTGATGGATGCAGGGACTTTGCTGCCAGGAGTAGGCCTGGGGCAGTCCAACTGTTCAGTACTCCTTCAACATCCACTTTATAAAAGAAGACAACACAAAGACAGAAGCCACCAGGATAGAGAGAAGGAATGAATTTAGGAACATCAGAAGCTCATTAAGCATCTCCCTGTAAGTCACTTAGTTAATCTCTTTCCCCTCAATGTTCCCCTGGAAATCACTGGTGATGACATTAAGAGTTAATCATCACGAAGCAAGATTTATCTTTTGTCCCAGCAAACAGCAGAGTGCCACAGCAGCAGCTCAGCTGAGGTTACCTACATTCAGCACGATGCTTCTGGTTAGCAGCAACGCTGCCCTCCCAATACAGTGTCAATTCTCCCAAGGCACAGGCAGCAATGCTGCAACATGTAACTCCCCTGGGACATCAGACACACATATCCTGCACATGGATGTGCCTTTCTAAGGCTCCCACATGGCTCTGCCCTAAAAGCTCCCAGCACTGCCAGCAGCATCAGTTGCTCCCACACAAGAGGTTGTGTTGTCCTAGTGAAGCAGCCCTGAGCATGCTCCTGGTATATTCCACACCCTGCAGCCTTCTTATCCCTCTTCAGGTGTTCTGCAAACCTTGGCTTGCTCCCAGCTGTGAAGCCAAACACTGCTGACGGATGAGCCAGCAGGGGGAAATTGTTCAATATTTTATCCATTGTGATATGGACACCATTTAGCACCTTGCAGGCTCACTTCAGGCTGCCACTCACATCAACATGGTTGTCACTCAGCATCATTCCACGTCTCACAGCTATGACCACAAAACTCTTACTTCTGCTGATGTTAACCAGGGTTGGAGTGTTTAACAGCCTCACTAGGAGAGGGGAGGCAGCATCCTCAGCAGCACTGCTGCAGAAGCATCCACTACTCCTGAGCAGTGTTTGTCCTGCCCTGGGCTGGGATCTGTTTAAGGCCTCAGCACAGTAACCAAGGTAATAAAAAAACCCAAAGACTAGGCAAAAGACTGGAAGATGAGATTCCAGAGGGGATGAAAATTTAAAAAAAAAAAAAAGGAAAAAAAAAAAAAAGGAAAGGAAAAAAAAAGAAAGAAAAAAGATAAAGATGAAGTGGTGGTTACACAGAAAAGCATATTGACAGGACAGGTACATAACGATGACTTTTTTTGCATGTGCTTGTCAAGGAGAAATCTTTTTTTTCTATGATTGGTCCCTTTTCTGTCTATCAAATATTACTAACACTTGTGATTACAGTGATATTTCATCTTTTAATACTCTAATTTCCAACTTGGCCTGGAAGTTGAAATTCTCATTACCAATACTTCTTAAATTGTTTGTTTTGTTTGGGGATGTTTGTTCGGGTCTTTTTGTTGTTTTGTTTTTTTTGTTTGTTTGTTTTTGGTTTTTTTATTTGTGTTTTTTGTTTTTTTTTTTAAAAAACGTTAAGGAAGTTCAACCAGAAAAAGAAATGAAATAAAAGGTATTTGTGGGTTATTTCTGAGGCCTGACCCATGAGTTTTACAGGTGTGAGGCTGGCAATAAAGGCAGCAGCTAATTCATCTGATCACTACACTCTGTAGATGAACCAGAAGAAGCAAGATACCTTTCAATAGTTAGTCTTTATATAGCCAGAAACCTGTGCAATTCAGCCACCACTTAGCTGTTGGAAGGCATGATTATCTAGAAATAGGACAGGCTTGAAGAAAAGAAAAAAAATTCAAGACAACAAAAGGACAAAAAAAAAAAAGCACCCCATGTAAACAGGAAAGACTGGATTCTACACCCTCATACACTTCTGCTACCTCAGTTATATGACAGGGTGTTCAATTCATAGCCCACCACAGGAACTACCCAATAGTAAATTAATTTTCAAGAAATACATCTGAATTTCCTCTATTTCCATTCACTATTTCTCCACCAACAGAAGGCCTGAGTCAGACTAATATTTTCTTCAGACATTAGCAGTTAATAAACATTTAAGTTTTTTAGTTTAATTTTAATTAATTAAGTTTTCAGAGTCTATATGTTGTTAAAAAAATATTCACTTGGAAGAGAATCCACTTATGGATAGCACATGCACACAGAACAAGGCTTGCCTGTTGAGAAAATAAATGTATTTTAAAAGTGTACAATCTAGCCTGCATCTTACTGCTCACACTATCTATTCTTGTGTGACTCACTCCACTATGGACAATGAGAACAGACTGGTCATTTTCAGTTCTTCATCACAGAGATTTTTTGACCCTCATGCACCACAAACTGCTTTTAAAGGTTTGTACTGCGCAGACAGTTTCTATCAGAATTTCCTTCTAACACCCAAGACAAAGTAAAATTCAATGTCTTTGACATCTGAACTCAGAGACCTCTAAAGCCTCATCCCCTACAAGTACGGCCTTCTTGTAAGAACAGCTTCAGCTTATCAGAAATTCAGATGAGTAATAGTGATGACAAACCTACACCAGAAGGCTTTCAGAAAAATTAGTAACCAGTTCTTGCCATCCAATCATCAATTCCCATGAAGTGCTCACATGGCTATGATTATCATTACTTATAAGGGTGTCAAACTGAAACTGAGTCAGTGTTTTAAAAATTATTTAACAGCAGTTCTGGATACTAGAGTGGCTTGCAAGTTCCTGCTGCCAAACTGCATGTTCTTCACAAGAAGGTGATATTTTCTCCCTTGTGCACAAGAGAAAAAACCCCACCACTGCCTCTGATAACAGACAATACTAATGAACCATACAAAGGAAATAATGGGTTACTTCATGCATTTGACAGCTTACTGCAGTTTTAAAAGATTTGTGAAGATGAAAATGCATCTCAGTTATCTGAAACTATTTCATTTTAAGCATTTGTAGCAATTATAGCCAACATTTTTCAGACAGAAGTGTGGTTCTTGAATTACAGTGTCCATTTCAAAGCAACATTCAAATTAATCTAGTCGATTTTTCCAGCCCTGAAGTCCACAAGGTTAAGGTTTGACAGTTCCAGTTTCATCTGTAACCAAATTAGAGCTAAGCATTCCTACACTATCAAAGTGTTAAGGAATGAGGCAACCTCTCCTTGAGGAGACAGCCCCTTTCCTAGGAGCCCCCCTCCACAGCCTCCAAGATAAGAGATATTCACCTCAGCAACAGGGCACAGGTGATGTGCTCAGAAAGAGCTCCGAGAACCTTGCATTGTCACATTTTACAGCTTTCAGGAGAGAGCTGCCAATTGCCAAGACTGCCAGGGATGCAGCTCCGCAGCAGCCTCTCAGGTCCAGCCCTGGCTGTGGCATTGCTGCTCCTCCCCTGTCAGTGCTCCCTCCCTTGCCTGAACACTTCCCTCACTGACCTGACTGAAATCTAACTGTGAGGGTTAAAAAAAAAAAAAAAAGGCAAAAAAGAAACAAATAATAAAACCTAAAAACTGAAACAAAAACCAACCAAACAAAAACAAACAAACAAAAACCAAACCAAAAACAAAACAAAACAAAAACAAACAAACAAAAAAAAACCCCAAAAAAACCAATTAGCCTTCAGCCAGAGCAGTTCCCTTAGGCCTCTCACTATGACCTTGACAGCTCCCTAAGGAGCACAAAGAGGGAGGAAACTTAGGACTGGGATGGATAAAAAAGGCAATACTGTGGAATTAGAAGTGGTGTAAACCATTACTGGACCACATCTCTCAGTTACAATCAGACTTTTTTTTTTGACAGTGAAATGAAGCTGTGGACCCAATGCAGTTACCAGGAATTCAATGCATCAGAACGCTGCCCTCACAATTTGCCTCTTACCCACTGCTGTCAGCAAAGAGGCCAAGGGCACCATTCTGGGGACACTGAAAAGCACATCAGAAGAAAGGACCTCCCTCTGACACCACAGGACACTGCACAGCTTTGGCTTCAGGGGGATGTTCCAAGGTCAGGGACACTCTGTGGTTAACCCTCACAAGGGAGCAGAGCATCCCACCCAGCAAACTCCTGGTTCACAAGGAAAGCTAGGTGCCCATTTACTGTTGGGTTGATGAAATACAGCCTTTACAAGTCTTGACTGAGATTCCATCTTAAGCCTTGGACTCCGTAACAACACATCTTAAACAATTCAGGTCCTCGGAGGGATCCTTTTTCTAGTCTCTTTCATCTGTTTCAGTGAAACAAGCACTACATTTTCCTGCCCTTACTGAGACAGTGTTTTTGATCCAGCAAACAGCTACAGCATCTTCACATAACAGCAGCAGCGATAAAACTCCAGGGTATCAGTAAATATATGGAAAGTCACAACAACGTGTATTTCAAATCTTTGTAACCCAGGTAATCTCCGTTCATTACCCTTCCGCTCCCCTTTCAAATTACAGCAGCAGCAAACAGGATGTCATATCTGAGCCTCCAAATACAAAATGAATACAGGCTACATAAAACATATCAGGCTCTAAAAATAATCAAAGACAGTATGCCTTAAATTTATGTTGTGATTTTGTTTTCTACTGACAAATACAACCCCAGCAAAAGACCTAACTATAGCAGGGAGTATTAGAAGTGATATCAAAAGTTCTCCCAACAGTTGCCTGTGCCGGATCTCCTCAGGAGGCTTTGCTGCAGGGCTCATACAGCACAAGGAAAAACAATCAGGCGCAAGGGGCTCATACTCACCGTCTGCAAAGTTTCTTCCTGTCTTCGGCTTTGGCTCTGTCGGTTGATAAAGGAGCGTGTCGAGAGTTTGTAATGGTTCAGCAAGCAGATGATCACTACCACCATAACAGTTATAACCACGATTATAATGATGATTTGAACGAACTCCAGTTCAGCTAAAACAAAGGGGTGAAAAAAAAAAAAAAGAGGTAAATGTGTCATTAACAGACAAAGTTAATCATCAAAGCAATAATCCAAAAAAACCCTCATTATTTCATCAAGATTGATCTGGCATATGATACTACTGCTGTCCATTCTGCAAAGCCTAGTGAGGAAAACTGTTCTAAGTATGAAAATTATCTAATTTTTGTCAGAGCAAATCAATCGGTATGAATAGCTGCAGATCAAAAGTAAGAAGCTTCTTGGTGATCCTTCTCTGCAGCCTTCTCAGGTAATAAACTCTTTAGCATAAACACCACAGACAAGCCTTTTGGACAACACATTTTCACTGTGTGGGGGAAACAAACCACCACACCACACACGTACTAACTCCCCTCTATTTTAACAGCCACTTGCAATGCCAGTAGAGTCCAGAGGGCTCCATCAGCTTCGAAGCAGAGGTTACATAGAATGGAATCAGGACACTGTATCTAGTACACTACCCTTAGTTTTTTTATCAACTAAATAGCATGAAAGGTATCTAACTAGAGTGGAAAACTTTTATCCTATTGAATCTACACACAATGCCTTTTTCAATTACTAACTTCCCTCCAACTAGTGTAAAGTTAACTTTTCTAGGACTTACCCATTCAGGTAAAAATCTAAAAGGAGATCTGGTACTCTAAAACAAGGTATGTTCCACAGTTAAAAATGAAACCAGGGCCTTGGTTGTTGCATGAGATACAATTACAATGAAGTCCGTCAGAGCCCATCATCTTATCTGAAGCCCTGCCTATAACCACAGATATTAAGTATATTTAGAAATGAGTCACTCTTGCACCCTTTTGGTTACACTGGAGCAGCAAGGATGAGCAACACAAGGGGAAAAATTGCCCTTTGGAGTTACCGAGTTGGTGATATTTCTATGGAAACTGCATTGCTCACAGGGGATGCTCTCATCTTGAAAGACAACTCCAGTTAATGGGAGGAGGTCTTTGGTTGCTAGGCTGGTAGAAAAAGCAAGGAAGCAGCACAAGTTGCTCAGTTTCAGTACTTTCCAAAAAGGGCACTACTTTCTGAATGCAAAAAAAATGAACTTCAGGGAACCAATATTAAATTTCTGTTTTAAAAAGCTAACACAGAAAAAGAGATAATGACATATGATGATGAAAAGACAAACGAAATATCAGAAAATAAGCTTCCCCACTTCCCATCTCTAATTTGTAGAGACACTCAGCCTTCTGTGTGACAGCAGCACACTTGGGCAGACACAATAGGACTGTGAACCTGAGGTAGAAAAATGCTGTTCACACATGAAATCCAAGGTGAACCTGTGGTGGAACTAAAGGAAATGCAAGGCTGTTTCATTATTCTAAGATTTCTTGCGAACAAAACTTCAGACCACAGATGCTGCAAGTGTGCTGGTGTCTAGTGGAGACTGGTGTCAAGGTCCAGTAGGCTACCAGCAGGCACGGCCACACCACCATCTAAGTGCTGAGGGTCCACAATCTCCTCAGTAGGGTAACTAAGCCTACTTAAAGCTAAGGAAAGAGCAAAGGGCAAAAATACACCTATCATTTAATTTCTCTTTGCTGTTAAGTACCATCCACTCATCATTAAGACCACCAACATTTTCAAAGAATTTGATTAGTCAGTGTTTTGTGCTCTGCTTTTGCTATCAATCCCATATGCAGTGCAGCAACCTTTCTTTTTCCCCCTCTCTTATGTCACTGGAAGTTAACAATGTCAGCACGAAAAGATCAAAAAGCAGGAAGCACAGAATTAATTAACAAAGAAACCCACCAAAACCACACTTAAGTAAGAAGTCAGTTTTTCTTGGCTCAGAAGTGCAGAATACAGATATTACACAGTTGACAATTCACTGCTGCAATTTACACTTTGTGGCTACTGAAGTAATAAATTCACCCAAACCTTTTATTTGGGTCCATGTCATACTTTAGACTGGAAATTGAGACTGTTGCTAAAGGGCAACATGCAAAACAAGCAATGTTGATTTAGGCTTTCCTAGAATGCAAAGATCACTGGAATGACATGTTACTTCTCTGTCTGCCAAGGGCAGAGTCTTCTAAATTTATCAAGGTCCCTGCATTTCAGCGGCAAGGGACAGTACCTCTCCATTAGAAATAAGTTACTTGGTCTGCAAGCACTTCCCTTGGGAGGGAATAATTTGAAAATGTTTGCCTAAAACATAGCCATATAACAAAGAAAATAAAACCCACAGCACACAGGTGTAAGCACAAAGACTTTCCAAGTCCAGCTTTACACTGCAAACACTGAACTGCAACAAAACACTCTACTGATGGTCAGGAGAATTTCCTCACTGGAAAGTACAGGGAAAAGAAAAGTAATTTTTAATCTCTTCTTTCTCCAGACTGACCCCCCTGCTGCTCATTAGGTTATTAACTTGAAAAAGCAAAGAGACAAGTACAGCAGCAGTCTGTATTTGCTGGCACTGATCAAGGCCATTTAAATAGTTCCTGGTGGCTGCTGACAGGCACTAGGCACTGGGTCACCACGGCCCCCACCGCCTCCCCTGCTCTGCTGCCCAACACCTGCCAGGCGCGAAGGGCCACCGCCTTCCAGACAGGCATCTCCCCCTTCCTACTTTTCCTTTCGGAAAAAGAGACCGGGTGGTGGGAGGGGGGCGAGCCTCAGGAAGAGAAATTATATGGTTTTACCTCCCCAAGTCTGTCACAGTCACATATATCCGTTTCTTTACACGCCAGAATCAACATTTCTAATAAAAATTCTCCTGGGAAATAATAATAATAAAAAACCCAAACCACAATGTTTCAGGGAAAACGCCCAACACAGAAAAAGGCAACTACACGCTGAATGAAAACACCTCAGAGGAGCATGAAAAGAGAGAAATCATTTACAACCCTTAGAGCAACCACACAAGCCCGTCACCCCGAGCACTGTCCCGCAGAGAGACCCCCAGCCCGAGCGGACCCTGCCCTGCGCCCCGAGGTTCCGCAGGCGGGCGCTCCCCGGGCGGGCCGGGCTGCCCGGTGATCCGGGGCCGCATCCCGCCGCATCCCTGCCCCCGCGGACACGCGGGTACCTCTTTCCAACAACAGGTCTTTTAACCGCGCATCCTTCACCGCTGTCCTGTTAAGCCGCTCACTGGACATGCTCGCCTCCGGCGGGCGGGGGGCTCAAGCCGCTCCGCCAGCCCCCGCATCACCGGCGGCCCCGGGCTCCATCCAGCGAGGGGAAGGGGGACAGACACCCGCCGGGCCCCACGCGGGGCCGGAATGACGGACGGACGGACGGAGGGACAGGCTCCCCCCACGCCTCTCCGCGGCGCTCGGACCGCAGCCGCCGCCCCCCGGCCCCGCCGGGCCCCCCGCCGCGCGGGTGCGCGCACGCACGGGCACCAGGGGCCCGCCGGGATCCGGCGCGTCCCGAGCAAAACGAATAATAACAGTTAAAAAAAAAAAAATTAAAAGAACCCAACACTAAAATAATAATTAAAAAAAAAATTTTAAAATAAATATTCAACCGGCGAGAACAAAAAAGAACAGGAAGGCCATGACGCGCCCCGCTGCTCCCCGAGCCCCGCCGCGGGGGGCCCGGAGCGCAGAGCAGAAGGAGGGGGAGAAAGGTGCGTAGCTTACCCGGCACCGCCGCCGCCGCCGCCCCGCCGCTCTTTAAGCCCGGCCCGGCGCGCCGGGCGCTCGGGGCACCCCCGGCTCCGCCGCCTGCCCCGGCCCGCCCGCGCCTGCGCCGCCGCCCGCGCCGCCCCCGCGCACGTGCGCGCCTCGCCCTGCCCTGCCCCGCCCCATCCCGCGCGGCCCGCACTGAGGGACAGCGGGACAGCGGGACAGCGGGACAGGGGGACAGCGGGACAGGGGGACAGCGGGACGGGGGGACAGCGGGATGGCCGCCCGCGGCCTCGGCGCTCCAAATCTCGCCCCCAGCGTCACACAGCCAGCGAGAGTGATCGCAGGAATCCTCCACGCTGCGCGGCCGCGGTTGCCTTACCCAAAGTCTTAACGGGGAGTCGGGGATGTGTGTGTGTGTGTGCGTCTGTAAAATATTAGGGAGCCGTATCCTGAAGCAAAACTGTAAAGCAATAGCCACCGGAAGGAAAAATGCCTCGTAACATCGAGAGTTATAAAAGAAAAATAGAAGAGGAGAAAGGAGGACGCCAGGGATTTTGGGGACACGGGCTCCAGTCTCATGTGCGTTTCTTTGGCAGAACGCATCAGTGCGTGTAAGTATCTAAAGGGAGGGTGCCGAGAGGATGGAACCAGGCTCTTCTTGGTGGTGCCCATCAATAGAACAAGAGGCAACAGGCAGAAACTGACGCACAAGAAGTTCCACCTGAGTATGAGGAAGAACTTCTTTACTGTGCAGGTGACAGCACACTGGAACAGAGCCCAGAGAGGTTCTCGAGTTTCCCTCACTGGAGATACTGAAGAGCTGTCTGGATGCAATCCTGTGCTGCGTGCTCTAGGACAACCCTGCCTAAGTAGCGAGGTTGGATCAGATAACCCACTGTGGTGCTTTCCAGCCTGACCAGCTCTGTGAAACTCCCAGTAGTGCCTGCCTGCCCCTGAACCCCGCTGCCACCTCTGAGCCACTGTGCCTGTCCCAGCCCTCCCTCCCACTAAGCCAGCCTTTCTGATGCCTTTCTGGCTGATGAACCCAGGCAGATGGGTTCCCCATGCCTGTCCCCACCTGTATTCACACTCAAAGCACTGCAGTGGAGGCCAGTAGCAGGTACTTAAGGCTGTCCCTGCTGCTGCTGCTGCTCACAGGAGCAGCACAGACCTGTAGTGTCGCTGCCACGCTGGGAAGCACCATTAGCACTGTGTCCCTCATTAGTGCCATGTTCCTCAACTCCCAGGCTGTTCCTCCTATACTGGCTTCACCACCACGGCCAAGCCTTCTCCTGTTCCTAGTTACTTCTCTAGATTATGGTGGCATCCCCAAAGCACCAGATAAGACTGTGTGTCTACATGAGCAGGAAAAGAGATTTCACCCTCTG